TACCACCAGAGGGTCGGCCACCTCACCGACAACTGCAGGCAGCTGAGAACGGCCATCGACGAGCTGATCCGGCAAGGCTACCTGGGCGAGTTCACCCAGCTGCTAAAGAAGAATAGCCCGAGGCAGCCGAACCCGAGATCACGGTCATGGCGCCGCGACGACCAGCGCGAGGCGGAACCTAAGGACGTAGACTATCGGAGTGCTGATAAACGTCCGGAGGGGTCCCTCGGCCCGAACGGCGGAAAGAAGAAGTTGGAGATCAAAGTGATCTTCGGGGGCGCTGAGACTGGGGACACGCCTGCGGAACGGAAGAGGTTTGAAAGGTCCCTCTATGTGGGCTCCGTATCAGCACCCTCCGCCAAGAAGAACAAGGTAGAGGCCATCACCTTCGGACCGGCCGACCTACCAATGTCACCGGCCCCCCACAGGGATGAGCTGGTGATCAGCATGGATGTCAACAATGCGATCGTCCGACGCGTCCTTGTGGATACGGGCAGCAGCGTGAACGTCCTCTACTGGGAGGCATTCGAGGGGATGAAGCTGAGGAAGGACCAGCTGGCTCCTCTACGTACCCCTCTTTCCGGCTTCACAGGGGACTGCATCGATGCGGAGGGTACCATCGGCCTCCCTGTCGAGATCGGGGATGGACCTCACACCACCCGCATCCGGATGACGTTCGTCGTGGTCCGCCTAAAGTGTGCTCACAACGCAATTTTGGGTCGGCCCGGCTTGGAAGATCTGGAGGCCATCTGCTCCGTGCGGCACTCATGCATCAAATTCCCCACCGAGACAGGGGTGGGGGTCGCCCGCACGGACCCGCACATGGCCAGGGCCTGCTACACCAAGGCCATGGAGAGGTTCAGAGAGCGAGAAGCCCGGGTCAACAGCATCACTGAGAAAGCCAGGCAAGCTGACTTCGACGCCCGTCTGGAACCGGCTGCCCTGCTCGAGGAGGTGGAGCTGGATGAACCTTCGGACAGAAAAGTGTCCATCGGCGCCGATCTCGAACCCGAGATCAAGGAAGGGGTCATAGCTGTCCTCCGGAAGTTCAAAGTCCTATTCGCCAGAGGGCCGGAGGACATGCCCGGAATAGACCCCAACCTCATCTGCCACAGACTCGCCGTACGGCCGGATGCCAAGCCCATACAGCAGAAGAAGAGATACATGGCAGCCGAACGGCGAGAGTTCATCAAAAAAGAGGCGGCTACGCTCCTCAACATCAAGCACATCCGGCCGGTCATTCACGTGGAGTGGTTGGCCAACGTGGTGCTAGCCCCAAAGGGCGACACGTGGCGGATGTGCGTCGACTACTCGGACCTCAACAAAGCCTGCCCGATGGATCCGTATCCAGTACCAAGGATCGACTTGCTCGTAGATGAAACGGCGGGCTGCGAGCTGCTCAGCTTCATGGATGCATTCAGAGGCTACCACCAGGTCTTTATGCATCCTGATGATGCAGAAAAAAACGGCGTTCGTCACGGCGGAGGGCGTATACTGTTATGTGGTCATGCCGTTCGGCCTGAGGAACGCCATGGCTACCTTCCAGAGAATGATCGGGATGTTGTTTAAAGACGTACTAGGGAAAACCATGGAGGCCTACGTGGATGACATCCTGATCAAGAGCCAGAAGAGGGAGGACCACGTCCGGGATATGGAGAGGATTTTCACCATCATGGAGGAGGCTAGCATGAGGCTAAACCCAAAGAAGTGCGCTTTCGCCGTCAAGGGCGGCAAGTTCCTCGGCTACATGATGAGTGAGCGGGGGATCGAGCCTAACCCAGAGAAGGTAAAGGCAATAGTTGACATGGAGGCCCCAAAGAACCTGAAGGACGTGCAGCGCCTCACCGGGAGACTGGCAGCCCTGAGCCGGTTCATGTCGAAACTGGCAGATAAGGCCATTCCTTTCTTTCAGATCATGAAGAAGGCAAATCCCTTCGAGTGGACACCAGAATGCCAGGCTGCCTTCGAAGATTTCAAGATATACCTCTCTTCTCCGCTCGTCCTCACCAAGGCGGACCCCGGGGAGCAGCTATACATGTACTTGGCAGTGGCGGACTTGGCTGTGAGTGCTGTGCTACTCAAGGAGGCGGAGGGCGTTCAGCGACCAATCTATTTCGTGAGCAAGGCGCTGAACGGTCCGGAGACCAGATATACACTGATGGAAAAGACGATCCTCGCTTTGATAGCATCTGTCAAACGCCTGGCCCCGTACTTCCAGGCACACCCAGTGACTGTATACACGACGCAGCCTCTCGCCACGATCCTCCGGAACCCCATGGCCAGCGGGAGGATAACCAAATGGTCCCTGATGCTCGGCCAATACAACATTGAGTTCAAACCAAGGCCGACGATCAAGGGGCAGGCGCTGGCAGACTTCATTGCTGAGTGCACCGCCCGCACCGAGGACGATCCCCAAGGCGACAATGATTTCAACAACTGGTGGGAGATGTACACCGATGGGGCCTCGAGTGCGAAAGGTTGTGGTGGGGGAGCAGTGATTACCTCACCTGAAGGTTTCAAAGCCTACTACTCCATGAAGTTTGAATTCAAAGTCACCAATAACGAGGCTGAATACGAGGCGCTGATTGCGGGACTAAAGTGCGCAAGGGCACTCGGCGCGGCTCGTCTCAAGGTGAGGATGGACAGTCAACTAGTGGTAACCCAGATGAATGGGACGGCCGAAACCAGGGAAGAAAGGATGAAAATCTACAAGGAACTCGCGGAGGAACAAACCGCGCAGTTCGAACAGGTGATAATTGAGCAGGTATCGCGGGTGGAGAACGCCGAGGCTGATATATTATCCAAGCTAGGCAATCCCCCAAGCGATGACCCCACGACGAGCATCCCCCGGCACATCAAGGGCTTCGTCAGGCAGGAGACGCTCCTAACACCGGCGACGGACGTCATCCGGGTAGAAGCCATCTCCATCGCTGAACCTAATTGGTCGAAGGAGATCGCAGACTACCTCAGGGATGGGACGCTCCCCGAGCCTGAGGATGATGGCGGCACCGGACGAGCAGCATGGATAAAGAGGAGGGCCCCCAACTTCGAGCTCATTGATGGGCAGCTCTACAAGAAGACGTTCGGAGGACCATACTTGAGGTGCCTCCCACCGAGCTTGGCAGCGGCCGTCATTGAGGAAATACATGAAGGCATCTGTTCCAGTCACCAAGGCCCTCGTACTTTGGCTCGGAAGATCATCTTGCAGGGGTATTACTGGCCGACCATCCAGCAGGACTGCTTCAACCACACTCGGAGGTGTGCGGTATGTCAGCAATACGCCCCTGTCCCCGGTCGACCGGCAAGCTTCTACACTCCGATGACCGTTGCACTACCCTTCGCCAGGTGGGGCGTAGATCTACTGGGCCCCCTCCCGACAACGACCGGCGGAAGAAAGTTTGTCATTGTGGCAATTGACTACTTTACGAAGTGGGTAGAGGCCGAGCCGCTGGCCTCCATCACCGAATATCAATGTCAGAGGTTCCTCTGGCAGAATGTTATATGCCGTTTTGGGATTCCAGAACAGGTCATCACCGACAATGGCCGGCAGTTCGTCGGCAGGGGATTTGAGGCATACCTGGCGAAGTGGGGCATCAGGCACTCCAAGGCCTCGGTGGCCTACCCGCAGGCCAACGGCCAGGTGGAAAACATGAACAGAACCATCATGGATGGAATTAAAAAGAAATTAGAAGATTACGCATCCACCTGGCCGGAGCAGCTCAATTACGTGCTCTGGACGTACAGAACAACCCCACGGACGGCAACCGGCGAGACACCTTTTGCTTTGGCGTACGGATTCCAGGCCAAAGTACCAACAGAGGTGCTGGTGCCCACGCATCGCACGAAACACTTCCAGCCAAAGGACAACGAGGCAAACCTACGGGCGGAGCTCCATTTCATTGAGGAGCGAAGAGACCTAGCAGCTCGTCGCATGGAGGAATATCACCGAGCCACCCAAAGATACTTCAACAAGGCGGTGAAGATCCGCGAAATTGAAGCAGGGGACCTCGTACTCAGAAAAAGGGAGAAAAGCAGGCCGCTCGAAGGAGGCAAAATGGCCAAAAACTGGGAGGGGCCGTACAGGGTCATGAGAAGATACAACCAGGGGACGTTCCTTCTCCACACATTGGAGGGGAACCACGCTGGAATTTGGAATGTCGAACACTTGAAGAAGTTCTACCAATAATTAGAGATAGATCATTGTAATATTTTGGTCGAAGTGCCATGTAACACCAATCGTCATCTCTATATCAAAAGGATTATTTCTGTTCTTCACTTCCTACAGAGAGATTAAAAGCCGAAGTGCTGTTGAAATGATTTCCTCCTCAAAAAAAAAAAAAAAAAAAAAAAAAAAAAAAAAAAAAAAAAAAAAAAAAGAGGAGAAGGGGAGAAAGAAGCTCCTAGGAGAGAGGGAGTCTTGACGAGGTATGCCTGATCTTCCTTCACCACGTGACGAACGTCTCCCGACGCGGAGGTCAGTAGGAACGTGGGGGGGGCTGGACGTACCAAAGGGAACCTCGGCAGGATAAACCAGCTCCCCCATAACCCGTAGGCCGGTGAACACCTTCTGCTGAAGCAGAAGGTTAGTAGGGCCACGGATATGGGGCGACGAAGCAGGGAATCCCGACGTGGATAAACCAGTGACCTCCTTGCGATCGTTGGATGACCGAACGTCTTCTTCGGGGAAAGAAGATTAGTAGGACCACGACAAGGACGAACGAAGCCTAGTTCCTCCCCCTGATGAGCGCATGACGAAAGCCTTCTGCGAAGCCAGAAGACTAGTAGTTCGCGGCTGGGGACGAACGGAGATAGGGAATCCCGACGTGGATAAACCTGTTCTTTCTCGAGGCGGGGATGGCGAACGTCTCCTACGAAACCAGGAGACAAGTACCCACGAAGCTAGAGAAGGACAAAGACTGATAAAAAGACTCCAAAAAAATGCGACAAAAAAAAAAAAAAAAAAAAAAAAAGAGAGAGAGAGAGACGGAGACATGGAGCAAATAATGATTTTTATTCTTCGGTACTGATGACCGGAAAGTACAATGTGTAATGTAAATTACAGTGTAAATAATTGCGAAGTACAGACTATGAGCGGAGAGTTAAGTTTGGCCGGCGTCAGGAGTTGGGGCCGAAAAGGGGACCTGCCTGGTTTTTTTCCCTGGCCTCAGCTTCTTCGCGCTCCTTACGCTCCCTCAGCAGTTCAAGGGCCCCCTTATGGGCGTCCACCATCAGGGAATCAAAGCCAGCTGCCGCAGGATCAAAAGGAGCCCCAAAGTGACGCTCAAAGACAGGAAGGTTCTCTGCCACAAGGCCGACCATACCCTTGAGATAAGTATCGTCGGCAAGATCATCAAGGAAGCGCTCCCCAGTGGGGGTGGCCTGAAGCAGCTTGATACCATCTAGATAAGGGTCCGGGCAGGTGGCCAAGAACTCGCCGACGAACCTCGGAAGGAATTTCCTGGCCATGGTCTGGATGGCACCGGTGTAGGCTTTGGACTTCTGGAACTCGATGGAACCAGACTCCTTGATCTTCGAAACATCGGCTTCATAGATGGGGACATGATTATCCACACCCGTACGGCGGATCCCCACCTTAGCCTGTTCCACAGCCCACAGCCGGCTGCGAAGATCTACAAGCTCGGCCTCCTGCTTCCGAAGGAGTTCCTTCTGGGAAGCGCTCTCCTGGACGAGCTTATCATAGGCGTCAGCCTTCTCTTGGAGCGTCCCAGCCCTGCCTTTGGCGTTCTTCAGAAGGGCGTCGCATTCAACCCGCACCCGAGCCATTTCCCTGCCTTGATTCTCAAAGGCCATCCGAGCCCGGTGGAAATATAACCCGGCCTTGTCAAGAGTGCTCTGCCCACACTCCAGGAGATCCTCAGGAGCTTCCTGGGCGGCGAAATCCTGGGGGACCTTGAGGTTAAGGCCACACCAGATTGAAGAAGCGGTCTGGCCGAAGAGCATCATCGATTCCTTGCGAGGGCCAACCCCCGAGAATTCGATAAGGCCAAGGGAGGACCCGTTGGTTTCTGGGGGCGAAGGGGGACGAGCATCGTCAGAACCCTTGGAAGCAGGGACATCTTCATCCCTAAGTCGACGGACCTCAGAATTGGCCGGAGGGGAAACAGGGGGCTTGTTCCGGGAGGAGGGCCTCCGCTTCAGGGGACTCCCCGGCTCACCGTCGGAGTCATCAGCCACTATGATGGCTTTGGAGGCGGTACCATCAATGCGGAGCCTCTTCGAAGCCCCGTCCTCTGGTGCGTCATCTGACCGCCTCCTGCTTGTCCGAGGCTCAATTTTGGGAACGAGCGGCTTCCTGCCCTTATCCTCATGCCTGTTGTCGCGGCCATGGGCATGCGAAGTAATATGATTGCGTCCCATGGATGATATAGTTGGGAATACTCCTGCAGGAAGAAAATCAAGACGTTCAGAATCGTAACAACTAGAAGATGACAGGACAATGCAAGTACAAATAGACGCACCTAGCCCGGCCCGGGCCTTGAAAGGCTCGGCCACCAGCGACCGGAGGTTCTGAACGCCGAGACCAGCTATGCGCTTGGCATAGCCGAGCTCCTCATCCGTCATGGACGGCGGGATGGACTTCACCGGATAGGCGTTCCACCTATCGGAGAATGGCATCGGGGAGCCCACTTCGGCAAGAAAGAACCGCTCCTCCCAGCCGTCCGGATTCCCGGCGTTGTTGGAAAACAGGGCCATGGACGGACGCGCGATCAGGGTTAAATACCCCGTACGTCCGAAAGGAGATAGCCGGAAGAAATGTTGCAGCAGGTCCACGGTGGGGGTCACGTCAACGCTGTGACATCTAATTATAAAACCCGCGATGATCCTATAAGCAGCGGGGACGAACTGAGCGGGTGTCACCCGGAGGCCCCTAAAAAGCTCTATGTGGAAGCTGTGGAGGGGAAACAGGAGGCCGGCTATGACAGAGTCCAAGTGGACCACCACGTAGCCGGGCAAATGGCGCATTGGGTTGCGCAGAATCCGATCGTCGTAACCCCTTGGGGGAAGGAACCATTGGCTTATCAACCGACGATCGGCGTTCAAGAGACGCTGGCGCTGACGACGAACGCAAGAGAAGTTCAGGTGATGACGGGGGGGCCATGGTGGCATACCCCGCTCATAGAACTCTAGGTCATCACCAGAGGAGCACCCATCGTCAAACCTATCAATAGTTTGGGACCCTGATATGGACAGAGACATGACGACGTTCGGTACCTACGGATGCTGAAGTCGGGAGTGATACCAAAGGAAGCTAGAGAGAGGAAATGATCGTGCAGCACAAGAGCTAGAAATGGAGCAAATGGAGGTTTCACAAGGCCTTGGGTACTTATAGGCAGCACCGCGAGGCTGCGCCAATCACGGTGGAACACGTGGCATCCGGATACCGGTCCCTACCGCGGTATTAAAGGCTCCTCGATGTTATCACCTCACAGCCACTGCAAATTAATCTGGCTTGATGCCACGAACGTCCCCCGAAGGGGCAAACAGAGAACGTACCTGCAGGCCAAATTCACAGGAAGACGTGCGTGTGTGCCTGAAGGTCCCATGTTCACATCAGACGCACGTCCGAGACGGGTACCTGGCTTAAGCGCAGGCGCGAAAGGGTACGCTACTCCAGAAGCGGCGATCTCCTCCATCAAGACATGGTTCGGGGAAGCGCATCCGATGAGCGTCTTCGCCAACTCTGGCCCGGGGGATTACGGCCGCAACCCGTACGTCTTGGGGAGTGGTTTACATATGTGATGCTCCCAAAGCATACGCTCACACCCCGATGGATCGAGAATGGAGTGTGGCCGAAAAAATACTGCCGATCGCAAGCACGTCTTCCTTCTGAGGAACGGATTTGGGGATGGAATATATGTGGGGTGCTCTCAGGCATACGTTCGTATCCCGAAAGTTTGGGACGCGAGGGCGAGTTATGGACATGAACATCCCCGGGGGAAAATAAAAACTACCAACGAAGAAAGGAGATAAAAAGAGTTCATGAGCGTAGAAATAATGATGAGGCAAAAAGAGTTGTATATTCTTCGGCTCTACCGGCCGGATAAGTACAGGATCAAAACAAGGGGACTACGAACTACATTACACAAAATTTGGAGACAAAGGCCGGGACCCCCCAGGGATGTTTTCTTCTTCCTCCTCGGGCTCGGGCTCGGGGGACGGGGGCTCCGGGACCTCCCCTCTGGATCTGGCCTCCTCCCGCCGGGCGTCTCTTTTCAACTTGCCCACCACTCGGATCAGCTCCGGATCTGAGGCATGCTCGGCCAGATCAAAATTGGGCCCCTGAAGAGCGGCGAAGACCGGCAGCGTGGCCTTTACCCCCTCGTTGTAGCCAATGACGAAGGAGCTATCCCCAACGTCATACAAGAACTTCTCGGCCAGGGGCGCACTCTCCAGGATTCGGACCCCGAATTTGAGGCGGTCCTTGGGCGCCTGCTTTTGCAGCTCGGCAGCGAAGACATCACCAAAGGCGCCCCCAAGGTACCTCTGGGCGGCAATCATGAAGGCCCCGGAGTTGTGGTACCCGGAATCGTCGACGAGCCATTCAGGGGTTTCGTCTTTGGGGGCAGGGAGAGCTGGGACGAGCTTGAACCCGGCCTTCTCCAGAACCGCGAGCTTCGCGGTGGACTCGCGGGCTACCCTTAGGGCGGCCTGCAGCTCTTTTTCCTTGGCCGCCAGCTCTTTCTCTTGGAGACGAGCGGCCTCCCTCGCCTTCTTCAAGGCCGCATCTGCCCTATTTTTGGCCTGAAGGGCATCAGCATCCCGGGCAGCCTCGGCCTGCAGGGTAGAGAGCCCAACCTACAAAAGAAATACAGAGGATGAGACTTCAAAACAACGGAATATAGGAAGCTACCGTTCATCCAAGGGCGAATCTCACCTGAAGAGCGGCGGCCAGAACCGCGTTGGAGGCCTCTGAAGACGTCCGGGGGGGCATGTCCACGCCAACCAGAGAGGCAATTTCCTGCCAGACGTCATGGGCCGGGCGCCCGAGGGAAGGAAGGATCAGCCCCTGCTCTTCGGGGGCCGAGGAGGAAGCTCCCCGAGGCCTCTTGGGCTTCTTGTCCTGCGCCTTCTCCCCGTCATGCGGATGAACGGCCTGCAGGGGCGCCACAACCTCGGGGACGACCGGATGGAGGACGGGGGCCTGGGACCCCTGTGCCATCACCGTGGCAATGAGATGCTGTTCCGCCTCCACCGTGCGACGATCGGCCTGGGAGGCGGAGGAATTAGAGTCTGCTGCTTGGGCGGCCTTGGCCTTAGCAAGGGCAGCTTCGGCCGCGGCCCCCTTCCCCTTCCGATTCTTGAGGAGCTTCTCGTGATTCATTTGCTCCTGAGTTGGGGGAAGACCTGAAAGAAACAAGGGAAAAGGGTTAGATGGACGAACAGCTGGAAGAACTCACCTCGGAGGAGAGGACCGCCCAATACCCCGAGACGAGCGTAGAAGGGGAGATGTCCAAGAGCATGGGCGGTACCTATTCCTGCCGCGGCGAGCGCCTCGAAGGTTAAGAAATCATCTAAGGGCCGGATGCCGTCCGTCGAGATCTTTCTGATGTCCTCCTCCAGGTCATTGGTTAGCTCCGGGGATCCTATCTTGGGCGGATAGCCGTTCCAACGCAATGGTAGACGAGCATCCGCGTACCGCACGAAGAAGAACCGGTTCTTCCAGTCATGGATGGAACTCGGTGCTCCGCTGAACAGCCTCCGTTTTGGACGAGCTGCAATGCTCAGGAAACCGTCAGAATTTTGGGGAGTGAGCCGGTAGAAGTAATGGAACAAGTCCAAGGTGGCGGTGACCCCACTGTCCCTGCAGCGGACTAGGAAGGCGGAGACGAACCGATAGGAGTTCGGCATGAGCTGTGCGGGGGCTATCTGATAACAACAGAAGAATTCCACGAAGAACGGATGAAGAGGGAAGCGCAGCCCAGCCTCGATGGAGTCCAGGAGCACCATAACCATCCCTGGACGTCTCCTCATCACGTGGGTTGCACCGCGCAGGCTGTATACGGACGGAGGGGGGAAGAACACCTTTAATTTGTTGAGGGCCACCTGCGAGAAGATCTGTTCATGACACAGGACGTTCTTGATCGGGCACAGATGCCTCTCCACGTCTATCTTCAGCCCAAGATCGAATATCTCAATGTCGGAGCCGTCCTGGGCTTCAACCCCAGAATCATACCCATCTGGACGCTCGTCCTCACCGGCGGATTCCCGTTCCCCGGCATCAGTTACAGGGTCCACCACATCGAGGGCCATATTCCCTTGCTCCCCCAGGTCAGCACCTTCTTCGCCAGGAACCACCACAGCAACCACGTCTTGGGCATCCCCGGCCTGGACCGTTCCCACGGTAGAGGCTGAGCCGGAACTCCCGGAAGTGCTAGTCTCACCCGAGGAGCGTGGACCAGAGTCAGAGGAGGAGCCCGAAGAAGAACCCGATGAACCCGAACCAGAACTCGACGAGATCTCCATCGAAACCATCTCGGCAAGAATTCAAGACAAAGAAAAGAAGCAGGGGGTGGAAATTACCTTAGCAAGGAGTTAGCCGAGCTTGAAAACCAGAAAAGACTTGAAGGACTGCAGGAGAGCGAAAATTGGGAACCCTAATTTAGGGGGGGAACCCGGCATTTATAGGAGAAGCACCGATGAAGAAACCAACGAGGGGCTGACACGTGGCAAGGAGCGTATTCCGGCCCACGCGCTGTGCGTGGGATGGGAACGTA